TCATACACAAATAAGGGGCGAAATTGATGCGAACTGCTTAACTGCATGACGGATGGAATCAAATGTTTAACACCATGGTAAAAAAAACCTTTACGGATGAAACAGGCAATTTTAAGCCACAAGTTGTAACACAAACTTGAAATATTTTGCCAAGTTAGGACTATTTTGAGGCATATATCAAAGTAGCAGAGATGACGCAATGGGAAATCTGTGAAGCCTCTTCAGTGAGCCCAAAAATGTTGGAACACACTTAAGGGAAAGACGAACCGAAGGGCTTAATCTGCCACGTTACATCTATCAACAAATCCGGAGGAGGCGACATGCCTATCCCTAAAATGCGCGTCTTTAATTTAACTTATGAGTGTCGGAGGATTTCCTTCGGCAATTGGTGCGATCACTTTCAAGCAGAAGAAATAAATCGCGTAAGCAACTGGTTTACCAGAATCAAGAAGGCCGCAGTCTACAAAGTTCGACTTTTTGTTGATGGCGAGTTGGTTTGCGATTGACGTATTTGATATTCCAGCTAAAAGGCAAATGAAAATGGTCCCAAACTAACAAAGCAATGTTTGGCCGATAAGGCAATTAAAAATATATATTTGCTTACATAGAGCATGCAAAAATAACACCCAGGAGAGCGAAGAAGACTAGGATGACTAGTTATGGTCATCATTATTATCTGTCGCATTGCGACTGTTCACAAAGACTTTGGATTAAGTTTTAAACGTAATACAGCGCTAGCGTTTGTCGCAGATAACAAATAACGTAGATATCTAAAATTTAGGACACCAACTAGGGAGTTAGTACGCGAAACAATAAAGAAATACATGTTATAAGATAGAAATAGGCTTTGCTAATTAAGGCGCATTCAACTTGCTAAACAATCAACGGATATAAACAATCATCCTGCACATAAAATGTTTGAAATAAAAACGCTTTGGCACGAAAAGCGAAGAAGATTTACCTGCCAAACTTATGTAGTTACCAACGGAATACATGGTAAAGACGACCGGCATCGAAGGCGCGAGAGGGTAAATATAGGTTAGGCGAACGACGTCAAGCGGGTTCTCAGCAGTTGCCCGAACTTCGTTTAAATCGCTGTGAAGCTAAACAGAACAATTATAAGATAGCATCCACACCGGGGT